TCTATTGCTGTCCACCCAAAGACACGCAAACTAAAAAAGGAGACCATCTGTCCATCTAACAAACTGGATTGAGAACTGCAGAAAAAAATTGGTGGTGTCCACCTGCAGCCTGGATGACTGGAACAAGGCCAACCAAGAGCAGGCAGGATGTTCAACTAAGATCCAACATCTCTCCAAAGTACAAAGTCTACTTTTTCTATATCTACACAACATCCCCAAAGAACAGCATCCTACTAAGAAGTCTTACTAATGCACATTTTACAAAGGATCTCTCCAGCTTTCTGTTCAAACCACCCAGGTCGTCATAATGAGTGATTCAATTCTGGGATCACTGTGACACATTAAGGACCCAAAATCGATTTGATGGTCTACATACCTCATCTCCTATCATGCTCCACAGTTGTATTAGCGGCAAGCCCGTTGCACTGTCGTAATTTGTAACCTACAAATAGAGAATTAGTTAATACCTACCAGCAGTAAATGCATGGTTGTTATTGGGCACAAAGAATCAAGAACGTTCATAAGGCTGCAGCATAGAAGACTTGTTCAAGCCTATAATCCTCAACTTACAACCACGACTGAGCTCAAAATTTCTGTTGCTAAGCGAGAAATTTGTTAAGTGAGTTTTGCTCCATTTTACAACCTTTCCTTGCCACTGAATCACCGCAGCTGTTAAGTTAGTAACACAGTTGTTAAGTGAATCTGGCTTCCCCATTGACCATGTGAGAAGGTGGCAAAAGGTGATCTCATGACCCTGGGACACTGCAACCGTCATAAATATGAGACAGTTGACACACATCTGAATTTTGTTCACGTGACCAGGGGGATGCTGCAACAATCGTAAGTGTCAAAAATGGTCGTAAGTCACCTTTTTCAGTGCCGTTGTAACTTCAAACAGTCACTAAACAAACTATTGTAAGTCAAGGACTACCTGTACACAACAATCCGGTCAACTAAAGTTCAACACTAAATAGGCACCAGATAAGGATCAATGGAATTTAGGAGGGGTTGGACTTGAGAGTTTTTGTGGGATCACAACTAAACTGATGATGCATTTAGTCCATCTCTCCAGCTCTGCCTGCTCTTCTCCTACCTACAGTTATCCCTTTGAGCTACTATGTTATGTTGCACTATGTTGCAATGGATTGAAAATCTTCCTAGAGCAGGGGTGGGGCTGGCTGGCTCAGGAATTCTGGGAGTTGAAGTCCACAAGTCATAAAAGAGCCAAGGTTCCCCCACCCCTATCCTAGAGGTTACTAAAATCTTTTCATAAAGCTCTGGACAAGAATTTGCCTGGCTCACAATTTATTTATTCATCATATTTAAGAAATGGCATCTCTCTCACAGAGAGACTCTGGGTGGTGTACAATAAAATATTAAAAGCATAAAAAAGAGTATATAAAATTTTAAAAAGGCAGAGTGTGTAAAAAAATGAATTAAAGGGCAGGAGGAGGGCTTGCAGGGTGCTAACGAGCCCCAGGGCTGTGTGGCTCCTTTGTGTGCCCTAAGCAAGACCACTTGTTTTGATGTCTTTACAGAAGGACAAGAAGCAACAGATGGAAACTAATCAAGGAGAGAAGCAACCTAGAACTAAGGAGAAATTTCCTCACAGTTAGAAGAACAATTAATCAGTGGAACAACCTGCCTCCAGAAGCTGTAAATCACACATGTCAAACACAAGGCCCGGGGGCTGGATGCGGCTCGCGAAGTAATAATAATAATAATAATAAAGTTGGAAGGGACCTTGGAGGTCATCGAGTCCAACCCCCTGCCCAGGCAGGAACCCTACACCATTTGAGACAAACGGCTGTCCAGTTTCTTCTTAAAAACTTCCAGTGTTGGAGCATTCACCACTTCTGGAGGCAGGTTGTTCCATTGGTTAATTGTTCTCACTGTCAGGAAGTTTCTCCTTAGTTCTAAGTTGCTTCTCTCCTTGATCAGTTTCCATCCGTTGCTTCTTGTCCTGCCTTCAGGTGCTTTGGAGAATAGCTTGACTCCCTCTTCTTTGTGGCAGCCCCTGAGATATTGGAACACTGCTATCATGTCCCCCCTCGTCCTTCTCTTCGTTAAACTAGACATACCCAATTCCAGCAATCGTTCCTTATATGTTTTAGCCTCCAGTCCCCTAATCATCTTTGTTGCTCTTCTCTGTACTCTTTCTAGAGTCTCAGCATCTTTTTTACATCATGGTGACCAAAACTGGATGCAGTATTCCAAGTGTGGCCTTACTAAGGCATTGTAAAGTGGTATTAATACTTCACGTGATCTTGATTCTATCCCTCTGTTAATGCAGCCTAGCACTGT